TTGGGCCCTGCCCCTGCTCAGCCCCCAGGTGTGGCGGGGCCAGGGAAGCGTTCCACGCAGAGGGGCTGGGAGTTTTCTGAGTTACCCTGTTTCCACCCCGCTTTGCCGCTCTGCCCTGTCGCCCTCCTTCCTCCTCCCCCAGAACAGCTGGGCACGGGAGAGGCAAGCAACATCTGCAACATCTGGCTTCATCTGCCGGCCGGCGCCGGGCGCCTCCCTGCCCCTGCCCTTGGCGCAGGGAAATGGAGCCCATGCGATTCTGTAGCACACAAACGGAGCCCTGCAAACGGGGAGGCGGCGGGAGAGTCACTCTTTGGGGAGGAAACGGCTCCGAACTCGAGTCACGTTCTGTGCTTGCTGCCCCTCTCTCCCCCCGCTGGAGAAAGATGCATGCGCACAAGCTGGGCTCGGAGCTGTCCAAGTGCTGAAATTTATAGGCAGGGTAAGCTCCCGTCTCATTCCGGCACAGGAGCGTAGCTTTCTCTGCAGCCCACACCAATCATTCCACAGCAACATTTACAACTCGCTGCCGGGAGTAGGGGGGGAAAAAAAGGAAAGAAACAGCCCCACGACGACTCATAGATACTGATTTCCAAAGCAAAAGGGAAATCAAACAAACCCACAACAGATAGCTCTCCAGCGCGGCAGCGATTTCCTTTTGCATGATGTTCTTAAGGTAGCAGGGCAATTTTTATTTTATTTTTTCATCATTCCGTAAAAGCAGCCGGGGGAACCACCAGTTCTGATGCTTTGTCTCTTTTGTATTGGCTGCTGGGGATGAGCCTGGGTTTGACCTGACCATGATTCCGAGGACTGGCACTTCTTATTTTTTACCCCCAATTTGTAGACATCCAGATCTCCTCTTTTTGATTGTCAAGAAAATCAAATTATTGCTGGATTTGGGAATCTAGACAGCACAAGGTACTTCCCCCTGCTTCTCTCTGGAATCGTTTCTGGGATATTTTCCATAATCATCACACAAAACAGGAGGAATGAACGGGAAGCTAGTGAAAATTTTGACAGCCTTGTTTGCATTTTTCTTAGAGACAAACCACTTCAGGTAGGTGAAATAACTGTATGCTGATATTTACCAAAAGATGTGGAAAGCATAGCTATAAGCAACCACGTTACATTAACCTAGTTTATTTGCTACGTCTGAAAGTATTTCATATTAATTTTATATAGGCAATACCTCTTACACTGGAAGAGCCCCGTTGCTTGGTAACACACACCAAAAATCCAAGTTTGTGCAATACATTTTCCACGTCTCTGATTTAAAGACACGTTTTTACAGTGCCATATTAATAACGTCTACATAGCTGAACAACATTTTCATCGTTTTTTCCCTTTTGGAATGCAATATACTCTCTCCACTCCCACTGGAAGTTATTTAGTAGGTTGCCTTGTTTTTATCTCCCAAGCTTGTCAGGGATGTGGTTATTTGTATCTACAGAACCAGCCCTCTGATTCTGGGAAGACCTTGGACCAATCAATAATTCCTTTACACTCCTTACTTCAAGCAGCAGTATATAGGAATGTTCTTAAAATTTCAAAGAAGAGAGGAGATATTGCTTCAGTTATTGAGTTTTCCTTATCATTCCAAAAAAACATTGGAGGGTTATTTGTCAGAGCAATGGTTCACCTGAGTTTCATTAATGTAATATGTTGTGTGTGTGTATATGGTATGTATGTATGCACATATACAAAGTGTGTGTGTGTGTACAGTGACAGAGTGAAATATTATTTATATTCACAAGTTTGGGATGGCCACATCATTCAGCATGGTGGTTCCAAGTGGAAACACAAGTGATTTGTGTTAGGTCATTCCAAATAAGTATACTGAATGGCTACCCACTTTTTTATTATTGTATATTACATTTATACCAGTTAAGTGGGGGATAATTTCTGTCGTTGTTAAAATATCAAAAGCAGTACCACGTCATTGTCAGAAAAATGGAACCCGCAATATCACAAATGGAACCTGATAATATCACAAATGTTGAAGATAACATAGTATTCTAACAATTCTAATATTTTAGTGGGGGAAAATAGTATTTTATTTCCTTTAGATTTCAGATCATCATGTTTGTTTAGCTGTTTGCATATAGGTACACACGCATTGATGATAAAAAATAGTAACAAGAAATACTGCTCAAAGTGAATGATGTCTTTTGGGCACATATTTAAATACACCAATACTGTAGAAGACATTGTGATAGGATTACTTCTGATACCTCTCAGAGATACTATTAAAATATAAAACGGATAATTTAGGAACCAAACGAATTAGTCATATTTTTAAACTCACTGATTTAATAATGGTTATGACAGAATTCATGTCCCTGCAGTCCAAATTTGTTCAAGTGCTTCTAGTTTATTTTTTCTAGGGAACAACCATCTGAGATTCCCATCCCCTGAAATATCTAATATGTTGTATATACAAAGCTACAAAGGCATGGTGGTACTATTAACTTAATGCTAAAACCTCAAGACACAGACCTATTCAAAAAAGTCTGGATATAAAAACAAATTAAAGGGAAAGATGGGGGAAAGGACCATTATCATTGCTCGCTGTGGGTAGAAGATTAAAATCAGATGTGTTTGCTTCTCAAACCCTTTTCAGGGAAAATAAACACACAGCTGGTAAAGAATTGGGTCTTTAATTAACACAATTTAAAACCAACTTAGATGGAATCTGTAAAGACTATTCCTACTCCCATGTTTTTGTTTTGTTCTGTTTTGGATATTAACAAAGTCAACAATTTTCACTGTTGTGTGATGAGTTTTGCCAGTCATTGTATGGAAGTTTGATGCCACCTCAGGACCAGCTTAAAGTGAAAATGGTTTCAGTAGCATACATGTAACTCTGACAATAACATGAATTGGGAGATCAAAGTCCTCAGGAGAATGTTTTAAACAATCAGATAAGTTGAAGACATCTATTTAAAATCCTACAGTTTTAACAATTTTCTTTTTATAGTCTAAGTATTCTATAAAGCAAATTGTGATGCACTGATATATTTCTCTTACTTGAAACTTATTTTTACTTCTAAAATAAAGTTTTCTGATGAAAACAAGGATCCATTTTCTACCTATCTATTCATTAGTACAATCAGTGTTGATGAAGATTTTTGTAAAGAGTATTATAATTTCCTCCCTAAACATAAAGGCAATGAGAGCTGAATAGTCGCTAATGGTGGCTAATAATTTGTTTAGGGCGGCTTTCTGTAAAGAACATGATTCCAGATCTGGAAAATCCCCCTCACAGACCCTGTCTCCTTCAGATTTTTTGGACAAATTGATGGGAAGGACATCAGGATATGATGCAAGAATCAGACCAAATTTTAAAGGTAAGTTTCTCTATTGATCAACTAATTGGAAGTCTTCTTGACATACTATGGGTTTTGATAACTTTACATCTGTGGCCCGATTCTCCTTTTCACTATTCCACTTTTGCAGAACAATCATTCCATTGAAATCAATTATTTCATTGACATAAAACCGGAGAAGCACAGTGGAGAATCAGGCTCCTGGTGCTTTTAGTTGGAGCCGTCTTTTGGAATGTAGCCATACATTAAATAATATTTGTAAAGGATCCAGGTTTTGGTTTTGCTAGAAGTCACTTCTGTAAATCTCTCTAGTTACTGAGCTAAACAATAAACAGAAGTATGTTCCAGGTTCCCTTACTAAATACAGTTGGATTTGCTGATTTCTGAAGTTTCTAGACATACAGGGCTAAATCCTGAACTCTCAAGCAAAGCCCAAGTCAAAGGGCTGTGCTCATGTAAAACTCTGAGGGAAATGAGGGAATTAGGGGCCAGGGCACCCACATAGTAGACTTCTTCTAGCCATTACTGGCTATGGGGTAGGATAGTGGACATAGCCCAATTCTCCATTCCTATGCTGATTTAGGGATACCTAGGTTTGTGCTTTGGCTTGGCCACTCCCTGCCCTGCCCTATTCTCACACCATTTTCTTTGCTGTGTGGAGAATGACCATAAGCATCTTAGCATCAGCACATGTGAGGCTGCAGATGCTCAGGCTTCCACAGCTTTGGCCACTAGTCAGTGGATAAACAGTGTTTCCACTGCTTTTGACCTTTCAACATTCATGCCAGTGAGTTCAGGATTCAGTCCCCAGACAAGAAGAGGGGAGATCAAGTTTTCTCTTAAGCATTTAGAATGGCTCAAGAGCTCTACAGTTCTACCAAACTGCCTTTTTTTTAAACAAAGAAATCTAAGCTCAAAGTGCAGTTATTGTTTGAAAAGTGACTATGTGAAAATGTACTCTCTTCCTCAATAGGTCTGCTCCCCTGTGTGTATTTCAGATGCATATCTGCTGGCTCTGGTGACAATTTTTTTTTACTACTTTTTACTCCTATTAATTCTGCAATGAAAGCTGTTGGTATGAAAGAATATTGTTCAGCCAGTGGATGCTGCTAGTATGAGAGAGGGAGCTCACACATCAGTGACAGCAATGTTAATTAAATTTCAAATCAAGAACCATTTTCTGCCTTCACTCCCTCCTGTGCAAACTGCCGAATTTGGAATGTGGAATCTTTTTTACTGTTTATGATGCATGAACCAGAAAGAAGCCAGTGTGACTTCCAGATTCCAAGTAAAGCTGATGAAACTGCTGGACAAACTGTGGCCCCAATTCAGGAAAGCACTTAGGCATTGACATTAATGGCATTTTAGCATGTGCTTAAGTGCTTTCCTGTAGCAGGGGCTGTGTTGTTATAGTAAAAATAACAACTCCAAAGCATTTTCTGCTCTCACTCACACCCCATGCACTCACATGGACTTCAGTGAAGTTTGACAAGGTGTAAAGGAAGGCAGAATTTGTCCTGAATTGAACAGATAAATAATTGTTAAGGACAGATTCTGCCTGGCCATTCCATGGGGGTATAGTTGGGGAGGAGATCCCCATGCAATAAGCCATCCCATGCTACACCTTGTGTACATCAGACCAGACACAATAGCAGTCTATATACACAAGGGTGCACAGATTGCTTCTTCCCTACTTCCTGGGGGACATGTAGCACCTCCAAGGGAGAAGGGTGGGAGCAGAGTGGCCTGTGGCTCTTTCTTTCTGTGCACTGGTACGCAGAGCTGACTGGCTGCGTCGGAGATAATAAGCTACATCCAATAAAAGCGGGGATGCTGTTCCATTCCAAAGTGCTTGACATGAGTTACTTTCAATGTTCCCCCAAGGAGGTGGTGGCTCCCCACTGATTCCAAAGGAGGGCTGTGCCTGTAAGCACAGTTAAGCCTTGGGTGTCAATAAACACAGAACCCCCGCAATGCTGTTTTCACAAAGTCATTTTTCAGAGCAGAATTTCACTTTGTAGCATTTTTAAATCAGAAATTCAGCTTCGATATTTGCACAAGTTCCCTTCTTCTGAATCTTTCTGTGAAGGGTCTAACAGGTTATGTCATTCTTTTCTATCATCCTATCCTCTCTACAAAGCCATCATGTTTGGTGAACCAGAGTGAAGATGCTATGCATGGAGTTTTGAACTTCACGCCACCAGTGAAATCCCTGAATAACCATAAGCAGCCTTGTGGCCTATTTACTATATATTCCATGTTCCAGTTAGTTAGCTGAAAAACACAACTTTGGCCAATGTCCAGATCTCATTAAAATTTTCCCAAAAGTACAAAAGTAGAAAGCATTGTCTTTCTAGTTTTGCATAATTTCCCCTTAAAATAAACACATGAATAAATAAAAAGGAAGATGGCTTGTGGGGAGGATCATAGTGAATTTCTGTTACGAATCTGGATATTATAAAGGTGTTTTTGTACTGAGTTCAGTATTATGATCATGTTACAAAACATATTTCAGTTTCTAAGATTTTACTGATCTATTTTACTTTGCTTTTGTGATTGGATCCATCAATACAATAGCACCATTCAAAGTAGCAGAAATGTATTAAAGTGTAAAATGTCAAATTATTACATTCTTGATTACATTGTATATTTGAAAACAATATATTCAATCATTTTAAGCCAAAAAGGTGTTCGAAAGAGAAGTCTCTTAAAATAGGTCTATTATTTGACTTTGCATATGGTTATGGAACAGGTAAATATTATTAACTGCATTTTAAAAAAGAAACTGTGAACCAAAGTATTTTGGATATTGTTTATGCATTCATCCAGATTACTTCTGCTTCATATCAATAACAGTTCAATCACACAGCTTTTTTTCTGATCTATAACTGCTATTTTTTGCTTTGTCAGAAAAGTCTGGTATTCATGAAGAAGGCAATTCTGTTGCATCCTCTTATTTTATGCTACTGAATGTACATTAATTTAAATACATTTATATGACAGGTTTCAAAGTCTGAGTCACTGGAAAACAGCTATTTGATTAACTTCTGACATAAAGGCAACTCGCTTTAGCGTAAGGGAAAAATGATTGTTCACTTAAGCAAAATGTTTTATCCAAATAGAGTAATTTTTCTCATTTGCATTCTTGAATAAAAAATTCAGATGGATTAAGTGAAAGCAACAAGGTGAATATCAAATAATTTAAATATCAGACATTGATGACACAAGCCAACATTTAGCTCTTTTAGCAACAATACTGTTCAGTGTAGAGTCCTTTCTACTCTAATGACCTTATGAATTATCACTGTCATTTGCCATTATTTTGAATAGAAAATTGTTTTCCAGTTCCTATAGGCCTAATAAGAGATTGTGTGCAAAACCACCAGGGGATGAGAGTGATTGTCACCATGATGGGCACCACAGGGAGAGTTAAGGACACAGTGGCAGTCTCAGCTAAGAATTTCCTTGCTTTGAGCCTTCTAAGTCAAACATGTAGGGTATGTCTACACTTCAATTAGACACCTGTGACTGGCCTGTGCCAACTGACTCAGGCTTGCGGGGCTCGGGCTAAGGGGATGTTTAATTGCCAGGTAGATGTTGGGGCTTGGATTGGAGCCCAGGCTATGGGACCGTCCCCCCTTGCAGGGTCCCAGACTTTGGACTCCAGCCTAAGCCCAAATGTCTACACCACAATTAAACAGCTCCTTAGCTTGAGCCCTGTGAGCCCGAGTCAGCTGACACAGGCCAGCTGCGGGTGTTTAAATGCAGTGTAGACATACTCCTAGGCGGCCTGCGCTTTATCTTGCATTTACTTAATTTGAAGGTCCTAATAGCTTAACAAAGGCCAGTGAGATGAATGTTAAACCATAAATATGTAAAGGCCCAATCCAATTCTGATTGAAGTCAATGGGAATCCTTCCATTGACTCGAGTCAGCATTGGATCAGGTGCTATTACTCAAGTTGATGCTTCTCTCTTTTAGCTACTTTGTCAGGAGAACTTTGTTTCTAAAAGATAATAAGTGCAAGTTGTCCCGCACATACAGTTCACTAACATAATATTAACATCCTGTCTTAAATTACAAAAACAAAGAAATTCTAAGTGGAGAGAGGCACTTTCTCTTTAACTTACTTCATTTTTTTTAGGGATAGCTGTAGTAATGGAAGAGGGCATCTGTGCTGTAATATGATAGCCAAGGGTATGCTTTCTGGTAGATAAGAACAGGAGATAATGAAGTAATGCTGCAGTGTTCTATCATGGATCACCTGTTCACCTCAGGCTGACTCAGCATGACGTGCCAAAGCACATGCCATGGCATGATGACCATGCATATCAACAACTTAATCACAACATGGATCATGGGGGTGACAGAAGCCTAAAATTAGAATCTCCTTGCATTTGTTGACCTTTAAAGTTATTTTAATTATTTTTTAGTTTCCATTTGTTACAACTGTATAGTCTAAAAACAAATTTAAAATTTAAACACACACTACAGCAAATCAATGTGAAAAACCATTTTCCAGCTATAATAATCTGTCCTTCACACCAAATGAAGTAGGAATGAACACATCTGACAGTCTTTCAGCAGAAGTTTGCACTGGATTCTCACTATCGTTCAATCCCACAGGCTGCTGAGCGCTGCTGAAAGCAGCATGAAGAGCCAACCAAAATATCAGTATTGTGCTGGGTGAAATCCTGGCCCTGTCAAAGTCAATGGCCAAACTCTCATTGTCTTCAATGGGGCAAGGATTTCATCTCCACTGGTTGCTCAGTACCTGTACACTGAGGTTTAATAAAATAGGAGAAAATGAACACAGCCCTCACTAATGTGGGCAATTCTCTACGTCCACACTGAAAAGACCACAGGTGAGGCAGGACAATGGGCATGAAAGGGAGTGAAGGTAAGATTCTCAGCTGGTGTAAATAACACATCTCCATTCATTTCAGAGTAGCTATACTGATTTACACAAGTTCAGGATCTGGTTCAGTGGGCATAGGTGCTTATATGCAATTCAGTGAATG